GCATTGTCAATATGCACTTTTAATAAAATAAAGAATTTAATAATCTATAATAATTTTTCTAGTAAACTATCAGCTTTGGTTTAAGCTACTTTTCTCCTATATTACAATAGCTAATTTATATAAAGAAAGCCAAATACATTCTGGCTTTGCTAAAACAGAAACCCTACCACAAATAAATTTCTCTTCTTCATTTTTCTATCATCTATCACAAATATTTACTTTGATGCATACAACAACCACAAAAAAAAAAATCTGTTCCACAAGACTGTCCTTCTCTAATGTCCAAAACTATCAAAGAAACCTAAGTGTCTATTAAGATATTCAAAAAGAGAGACAGACAGATAAAAACTTGGTAAAAAAGAGAGATGTTAGCACAAAATACTCATGGCATACCTAGGTGATCAAATGATAAATGACAACCAAATTTAGGATTAAAGGGAAAGGATACAAGAAAAGGGAAAGATATCCCACCACCACCAAACTAGAGTTTAGACATATATTTGGAATCTGTTACACTGACTTATTGAACCATCAATAACTTCATCTGTCAGTACACAACAGCAAGGGGTTACTTCTAGCACTTCAGTCAAGTCCCTCTTGGCTGACTTCCTGCTTTTCCAAAGCTGAAACATCAAAGCTCATGCAAACTCAAACTGAGGATTTTGCAGTATGTAGAGGACTTAGAGGATCTGTCTTTTCTACCCAGCCACCTACTGTGATGAAGTTTATAGAAATCATTTTCAAAAATGAAAACTAATATCAAATGCACAGAAGCTGTCTAAGAAATTTCAAGTTACTAGAAATTACTGTGAACACACATGTGATGATGCAAACCTGGTACCCAGCACAACTCCAGCTAAAAATACAAGTCAGTAAATTTCAGGAGAACAAAAAATTCCATCACAAAAAGTCATGCTAGCAGATGCCAAGAAACATAAAATCTGGCACAGTAACAGAGATTACTGAACCTCAGCTTTGAGGAATTCAGTAACTTTAAAGGTTTAATGTCAAGCATTAAAACACGTTACAAAGGAAATTTCTATTTCTCTCAATTTCATTGTAAGTTTTCTTCAGCACAAAACAGTCTTTGAAATCAAGCCTCTGAAACTGTAAAGGAAGAGTCTATTGACAAAATAAAAGATGTGAACTAAATTCAAATGTACCATCACTAGTGCCTTTTAAATAATTCATACAGAATGACCAAAAATTGGGAATCCAAATGCCAATTTTATTATCTGTGTGTGGAAGCTCTTATGGCGCTTGCCTTTCTTTTATTTCCAGTGAAAACCAAATTATGGCCATCAGTGTACATCTTACAAATTCACACCTCTGCTGCTGACATTTATCTGCTGTCTAAACTAGATGTCATCCTGATGTTACCCAGTAATCCAGATTGAAAATGGACAGTATCATCCATCTGCTGATGCTTGGTCCAACTTAAGACATTTTGTTCTCAAAAATAAACACAAAATCTTTGACCATCTACAACCAAAACACATTTGCCCTGGTTTCTAATTTAGCCTCTTTTACAATTCAGCTCAGATATATAACTGCACTGAAATAAATTAAAATAAAAATTGAAATATAAAAAGGACAGATCACTCACTTGTCAAATACACCTATAATAACACGAAAAAAATGTTATTAAGTGGAACACAAAAAAAAATTCTATGCAACTCACAAACACTCTGGTGCAGACATTCAAAAGCAAAACTAATAAATTAGTTTTGCTTTTGAATAAATAAATTAGCAGCAAAACACAATTTGCTAGTTAGAACACTGAGAAGAAACCCTTTTTAGATCCTTAGAATAACATTTTTGCCTGCATTTCTAGAAGCACAGTTTTTGTATACCACACAAAGCTGCACTCAAGGCCCTGGAAAGCCACATAACTGCGTGCCACGACTGTTCCTGTGTTCCTGCAGAGAAATCCTGCCCGCCCAGGAGGCACATGAGACACCTGTGGAGCGCAGAGTGCCTCCTACCGCAGCGAGCACACATCAGCTCTTTGTTCCTCAAACCTGACGTTTTCCCCTGCCTGTGCAACAAATTGCATTTACTACTGTCGCTATGATGGTAAATAAGAATTTAAATATTAGCTTCGCCAAGTACCTATGTCAATGCCTCGCCTCAGGGTTTGCTTCTCAGCATCCCGGTGGCCGATGAGATCCTCCACCCAGTGGATGTAGTTCAGCCTCAGAGGGACGGTGGGAATGAGCCTTTCCACGGGGATGTCGATCGTCAGCCCGAAATCCTCCTTCAGGAGCGTGCACGTCAGAGCCCTCACGGCCTCGGGATCCTTGAAGTTCAGGCTGAAAGGCACAAGCGGGGCTGTCGCGGGTGCCCGGGGGCGGACACACAAGGGGCGCCCACCCTCCCGTCCCGCCCCGGCCGTACCTCACCCTGCCCGCCAGGGTGGTCTGCACGTGCTGCTGGAACTCGGGGTACTTGCCAGCCAGATAGGCGAAGTCGGGGGGCTTGTCCTTGTAGCGGTTGCGGGCGTGCATGGACTTGCTGAGGGCCATGTCGCGCCGGGATGGGCCGCGAGCGCGGCGCTGGATCACGGCCGCACCCCACGCGGGCCCGCTCCCGGCGCGCACCGCGGCCCCGCGGGCCGTACCAAGGCGCGGCGGGCCGCGGGGGGGGGGCGGCCCCGAGCGGAGCCGCGCCCGCCGCCGCGGCGAGGGAGGTGCCGCTGCTGAGGCGGAGAAGTGACGAGGGGGCTTCCGTAGGATCCTGGAATGTCGTGGGTTAGAGGGGACTTTAACGATTATCTAGTCCCAAGCCCGCTGCCAAGGGCAGGGACACCTCCCACTGGACCGGGCCAGGGCTCACCCACAGCAGCCCTGGGCAGCCTTTGCCAGTGCCTCACCGCCCTCGCGGTAAAGAATTCCGTCCTTATATCCAGCCTAAATTCCCCTCTTTCGTTTTACTTTTTGCCCTATCACAACAGTGACGACGAGTCCCTCTCCAGCTTCCCAGTGCCCCCTTCAGACCCTGGAAGCTTGCTGGGAGGTCTCGCAGAAGCTTGTCCAGGATGAACAGACCCGATTCCCTCAGCCTGTCTGCGTACGGGAGATGCCGCAGTCCTCTCATCAACATCGTGGCCTCCTCTGGACTTGCTCCAGCTGTTCCATGTCTTCCTCATGCTGCAGGACCCCGTACAGTTAAAATGTTCTATATACAGGGATCATCACTTCAGCATTAGATACTCAATGAGTAATGAAGACAAATAAATGAAATTACATAAACAGTTGTGTTGTTCTGGTGGCAGCTCTGTCCATGCAGCAGCATGAGGAGCCTCCCCTCCCATCGTCACATGTATTCCCCACCCAAGTCACCTTTGTTATTTTTCGAGCACACATAAATTATATATGTTCCTTTTCCGGGTTAAGTAAAGGTGGCCCGTCCACTTCGGACAAGTCCGGTGAATTGGTCCAAATCAGATGTTAATTGACGCATTATGAAATAATAAAATTCTGTCCCTACTCACTATCAGCTACCTAACTGGCTTGTGGCTGCCCTACGTCCCTAGCTGTCGTCTATTTTATTAAAACAGAACAATATAAAAAAGAACAGTATGCAATAATACAAAAATAACAACAATATAAAATCCAAAACAAGAAGTAAATAAACAAAGCGTCTAACCTGAATTACATAATTTTCTGGCCCTACTGGCAAACATATGTACAATGTCCACAGATGAAAAGCGCGCAACTGTGGAAAAAGTCTGCAATTTTCACTTGCCTCGATTTGGAGAGGCCAAGCTCAGTCAAAAGTTCAAAGTAACCTTGGTGCCATTACCCTCGCGCTCCTAAGGGAAAACCCACAAAAACAACATCCTTTCTGTTGGTGAGATTTCTTACTTCAGTTTCCAGGTGTTTGTACTTGTTCACTTTCTCTGCAGCGGCTTCCTCCAGCAATGATTTGGCTGCTTCGTATGGTACTGTCACATCCACGACAAGTGCACAGGCATCCTTCGCAAATATCAGATCAGGTTTGTATAGTTTCTTGTTGGAATCCCTTATGTGCGGTTCCTTGAACACTACCCTTGAAGGAGTCTTCAGCATTCTCAGAAACAGCTCATAGTCATGGGTTTCTGTAAAATGCCTGCATGAAGCCACTGGCAACCAAGCATTGGCCTGGGGCCTGCTGCTTGTGGCTCATCTTGTGCCACAGGCTTTGCAACACGTGGATTTCAAATGATGTATTGAACAGTTTGAGATGGGGAAAAAATCCCAAGGCTTAGACATCATGCCTGGAAAAGATTTCTGAGAATTTCCCCACTTCAAGCACTTTCAATATACAGCATGTACTTCTAATAGTTATCATACTGTTGTACTTGTTGAACATAAATTATGAAAGAAAATATGTATAACGGTGGGCTTTGTACTAACACCGATTAAAAAAAAAACCAACAACAATATCATCCTCAATTCAAATAGGATGTAGGCATAGAAAAACAAAGTCTCAAACTGGGAATTAAAACTGACATCAGTTCCTCGCTTTGTCACTGATGGTCAGGAACTTCCATGTTTCACGTAGGAAACTTTCAAGTAGAATAGGAGTAGTCCTTCCTTATTTAACATGGTGTTCTAGTTCCTCAGACAAAAACATGTAAGATTAACGTTAAAGTATAACCTATTATTATTCTATTATTTACAGATATTTTCCTGTTTAAAAAGCCAGATACAAATCCAAATGACTCATTGTATGTTGCTTAAAAATTCACTCTAAATGTGCTGGCATTCATATTCTTGAATATCTCAGAAGACCTGCAAGTGGATTTCATTTAGGTCCTACTTCCTGCCTTCAGCTAGCTTCTTGTAATGTGAGGTCAGCTAAGTTTTGCATACCAAAATACATAAAACTTGGGTAAAAAAAAAAAATACACAAGACCACCAAGCCATCCACTCTTGACACTTCTGTAAATTATTCCCCTTTCTCTGCCCCCAGCCACAGTCACAGAAAAGAAGCTGATATGAGCAAAACAACAACACAGGTAAAAATATTCACTTTAATTCAGAACATTTAGTGTATTTACAATATAAATTTCCTCTCTGGTCAAGGGATTAGAGACTGAAAAAACCCATTTACAAACATGTGGCAACCTGCACCTGGTGCAGGCTAATTGAATTTTTCTACATCTGGCTCTCCCAGGGTAATTCTAGGGAGAAAGTGATGGGGAGAGCTTGTAGATGGTACCAAATGGCTCCCACAGCAATCACAGAATGCAGTCCAGGAAGTAGTGTGAAGTTACTCAGCAGTTGCTAAAATATCTATACAGTCCCATTTGCAGTTAGATTCATCGAATCTTCCATATGTAGATAAGCAGGTAGACACAAGCCTACCAGCCTGTGTGCAAGCACAGATTTGCAGAGGTGCTCAGGCTACCTGTGTTCACACATAGGTACCACCTCACCCAGGCAGATGCACACACTCCTTGCCACCCTATACTTGGACAAACACACAGGCAGGTGTTTTGTTAATGCTAATTTACATGGTTTCTAGATACAGAAAAAAAAAAAAAAAAAAAAAAAAAAAAAAAAAAAAAAACCTTGAGGAAAAAAGCCCCAACCCTTTCGTCTGACTCACCGGCTTGGAATCCTTACTCCTCTAGAACCTGAGGGACACGGTGTGGAAAGGATGATGTTCTCCTGTTTCTTGCAGAGAGAACCAGTTCTGAATCTCCAGGAGTCTTTTGCTACAGTGATAGCTACTAGTTGCTACTGGTTGACACCGAGAGAGGGCAATCATCTCCTGCTCCCAGAAACAGGCACATCCTCCCACCACTTCCTCTGAGTCAGATTTAGCAATCAAAAGGCTGCAATATGAGCCACTTCAACTGGTTGATCTCGCAGGACAATAAATCTGCAAGAAGTGAGTGAGTACTTTAACATCCGAAGAATCAGCTTAACGAAAGTACCCTACAAGTCTACCCACCACACGATGGGTGGAGCACCTGTTTCAGCAACAACTTGTCCATAGAAGCTGATCTACAATCAAGTCATTCAGAGCTACTATTTGCACCTTGGTCAGAGTTCACACACCACTTCCTTTATGAGGTGCTTCCCCTCCTAGGGAAAGGAGGTGTTGCAGAGGTCTGCTGTGGCTTAAAGGTTGAACTACATGGTGGTTAAGAAGCAAACCTCAGCCTTTCTCCAGCATAACCTGCTGCTGTCTCCAACAAAACCAGCTGACAAGTGTTACAAAGATGGGGAGATACAGGGAAAGAAAGAGAGCTATGATCCCCTCTTAAGATTCAAAGGCAGCTAAAGCAGAAATAGATTAAAGATGGTTGTGGAGGCTGCAAGGTTGAGGAGAGTTCTGGTTTAGCAAAGATTCTTGAACAGCATCACTGCAGCCACTGAGCTCCATCTGGTTGAGAACACGGCCGATGTGCTCCAGAGTGGCAGCATGGCCCGTCTGCAGTTTCCACAGGCGGAGCATTTCATACTGGGCGTCTCGCAGGCGCCGGTGCTCCAGCTCAATCCGCTCCAGGTCGTAGTCACTCAGGCCCAGGCGCCGCACAAACTCTTTCCACCGCGACGGCGGCACGTGGTCCACCACAGCGTACAGAACAGCAGGGTCTGTGAACACAGAGGGGAAACCCTGAGAAGCAAGATTCTTCAGCCTCAGGGAGAATGTCAGTAATCCAGGGCTGGAGGTTGCCTTGGAATCTTGCACTGCCCCCTCTCGATCAAGTCTCCTCCAGTTCTCCAGAGTAATCACACAGACTCGTGTGATGTCCAGACTTGCTCTTATCCTTCAAAATGTAATGGGAATGTTTCCATATGCTCTTGTATAAGGTTATGAGCAAAGACAAGCACATTTGCTTAGGGCCTTTCTGCCATACATGCTTGAAAAAGAATGAATTATTGAAATTATTCTGGCCCATTATCCCAGAGGCATTAAGACTGACAGCATGTCAACACATAAGACAATAGATTTTGCTGGTAGGGAAAAGGAACAACAGAAAGGCCTTGCACAGATATTTAGCATATACAGACTCACAGGCTCTGGGCATGCTTTCTACTGTGCCGTGCATGGGTACCCATCCAGGTCACATACACTGGGTAAGGTCTGTCCAGCATACTTCCAGATGCATCTGCGTAATTAGGTTCCTGTTTGACTGGGGAAGGAGAGAAGGATGGAGGAGTTGCACTTACTGTCTGGAAGCTGTGTCTTCCTGGCAGGTCTGACACAGTCTGGTAACTCATGTGAACTCTGAGGCGGAGGTATAGATGATAGGGCTGCATTTAATGGCAATTCTGTTTCCTTCTGGGACTCAGGAATAAGGGTGGAAATTTTATTTCTTTTTTTCTCAACCTGAAAGACACATTACATAGTCCAGAATCACCCACAGCAGCACAATACATCTGTCTCCTGCAAGTAACCACTAGTTTTATATGCTAAAATTTATCCAAGATAGGTGGGGAATGGGTGTTGAGATTTTAATTGTTCCTACATGCCTTGTTTCATCAGAGTACATCAAACATTTATTTCCAGCAGAACCCAAAGAGTTTAACTTTCTTTTGGCACCATAAAACAGTAGTCCAGAAAAAAAGTATTTCCTTACAAAATCAAGTAAGGCTGGTACCCAAAATCACCACCATTCTAGAAGCTCCACATGCCACCTTTCCCATCAACCTCCACTGTAAGGCTGTGGAAACCCCACTTCAGCTGCTGCCTGGGTCTTCTTTTTTGCAGAATTACCTTGGACCTGAGAGAATACTGTGAAGCAGCACTGAGAGGCTTGTGGAGTCAAGATCTGAAGTGAAATTAATTAAATCCTCCAAGCTTGAGGTACACAGAGAGAAAAGGGGATTAAGGACCAACTATCCAAAATGCATCCAGGGAAAAAAAAAAAAAAAAGGATGGAAAAAAAAAAAAGCCAGGAGTTTTAAAAGCATCCTCTAGAAGAGAGGAAGTAAGGTGTTACTGGCTCCACCCTCTACAGGAAAAGACTTCTGAGTTAAACAACCCTATTACTCAGCTCACTTGAAAATACAAGGCCCGAAAACAGCCCTTGGGGATAAATATTACTCCAGATCCCAGGCTAACATATTTGAAAGTTGGAAGGTAAGCTCTTATACCCATCATCTTGCTCACCTCTGATACTGGCTCCTTGGGTGTCTGTGGCAAAGAAACTTCAAAGAAAGAAAGAAAAAAGAAAGCAGAAATTATTTTCACTTCCTCTTATCCCAGAGAAAACAGGAAAGCAGCTATTCACAATCCTGCCCTCAAAAATGTTTTAGAGCAAAATACACATCCCAGAAATAAGCTCACATGCACATCCAATCACAGCTATGGGCTTGGATGCAGAACTGCTACAACAGCCTTGGCTATTTAGTTCTTGTGCTACTCTGGCCTTGCAGCAGAGCAGAGTAAGGGGATCCCACTTTGTCCCTCACACACAGAAAACCACACAGAAATCAGTGTCTATCCCAATCAATATGACTGCACGTGCCACTGTACTCACCACAGGAGTAGAAAGATGACACTATCTTATCTTTCTGGACCAGCTTCCCTACTTTACGTGCAACGCAGAGGACGAAGATAACTCCAAATATTGCAACAAGCGTGCCAAGTACAAGGTTTCCATCTGGACAAAAGGAAGAGAGCCAATGCATGAGTGACTAAGAAAAGAAGAGGTAAGTGCTAGAGGAAGAATAGCAAGTGAAGATTTGGAAATGGTAGGGAGAAAAAGGATAAAGGTTTGACAAAGTGGAAAATATAACCCTTTACAAAAGGCATTAAGAGAACAACACCCCACAATGAAAAGATTCCACTGCCCTTCAGTCCCCTGAGCACTCACTCAGCCCAGATGAAGTCGGTGAGGTAGTGACTGGGCTAGGACACAGCAAGCAGTCTTCTCCAGTGCAGCTGAAAGGGCGAATAAGAGAGGTGAGCACACGTGCAATGAAACTTCAGCCATTTCCAACCACCCTAGTTAACAGACTAGTCAAGGTGAGCCTGCAAAGCAGAGCAATGCAGTGTGACTAATGACTCTGGGCTCTTAGTGGGCCGATGCCTACATGGAGGAGGCTCAGGGTGGCAGAGGTGAAGACCTACTTGCCCCAGAAAGGTAATTAAAATATTGTAAAGTTATGTCTAGATATTATGAGTCATATGAAGAATTTCCTCCTGCTGTGGAGCTCCTGCTGTCTCTCCTACTCAGTGGTGGGGCATACAGAGTAAAAAAGCTCACCTGTTACAAGGCTTGCAAATATTATTACGTGACAGGAAGAATTGAGGCTTACACCTGCAAATGGCATCTTTGTTCTTTGAACCTGTAGAGGAAAAAAACAGAAACTGTTGCCATAATCTGGACAAAGAAGAAAACAAAGGGGAAAAAATCCACTCCAAGATGGATGAGAGATTATCCTTTTTTAAGCCTGGAAAACTGCTACTGAAGAAGAGATAAAGGATTTGATATACATATAATAACAGAGTTGTGGGAGGATAAAAGTAATAGAAATAAGGGTGCCACTGGCCTGAAGGTGGGCACCTCTGGAGAGGCTTGGAAAGAGACTATAATTACAGAGCAGCTTGAATTAGTGTATGCACAAAAAGCTGTAAAAGTCACTCAAGTTCAAGCATAACAGGAAGGAGAAATCACATTAGCCAGGTCAAGATGAGGGAGAAGTGGTCCCTGAGCAGCTGGGACTGGTGAGGAAGTCAGTTCAGAGCAGGGAGAAATCACTTAAAGTCATGGTACACATAAGCACTCTTCTGTTGTTGTGAGTGGAAGGGGTAAGAAATGAAAGAACTATCATTTCTAAGCAAGTCACAGGAGAGAGCCTGAGTGAAACAGGTGTGGGGAGGAGCAGGGAAGGACAGTGATGGAAGGACATCAAATTGCATGAGAGGAGGAGAAAATGTACTATAACAAGAAGCATGCATTCTGTGGCAAGTGAGGGACAGGAATAAAACAGTTTTACATTAGCCAAAAGGGAAGGAAACTGCTCAAGGACAGTGTGCAATCATGACCCTTGAGGAGGAGAGGCTTAAGCATGGAAACTGTGACAAGATGATTGAGCACTAGAGGGAACACATTCACCAGTGAAACAGCAAACCTCATACTGGGCAGGGTAACAGATGGGAAAGGGATCGGGAGCAGCACAGTTTGCAAAGAAGAGAGGATAGCTTTAAGACAAGGTAAGATGTGGGAGCAGCTGGACTGGAAGCATGGGCCTGCTGGATAATTAAAGAACAATGACTAAATTACTTATAATTGTGTCTTTGGTACAGATCATGACCAGCTGAATAAGATGTTAAGAGGACACTGTGTGTCCTTGGGCTGGAAGACAGCCACAAAGGAATGAATGTAAGTGCAGATTTGGAAGACCAGTCAGTGTGTGAATGGGCACGGATGTGTGATGTCTTATTCAGCCATACAGTCAGGTCTGCCAGTGCAACTTTATAAAAGAGCTAATCAAGAAAATAAAGTCAGTTTCTGTTGCATCCAATACTGTCTCATGCCTTCTCAGTCATCACATCAAAGGAAGATATTTAAGGGACATGGAAAAAATTAGACTACAGACAGCAGTGTTTGTTTAAGACCTCTGATTCCTGACCTTGGGACAGCTAACACGAGTACTTCTCCCAGAAAGTGGCATGATCCCAAGGTAATGCCCAATGCCACTGGGTATAGTTCAGCACTACTAGCAGCTCTTTACTTTAGAACACTGCACAGAACACTGTGATTGCTCAATAATTGACTGACAAGCACATCAGCTGAGCACAAGGGCTAGAGGTGTTTCATCCATCATACTCAAAGTGCTTCCAGCAGTTGGTAGGGGAAATGCAGTGAGCATCAGGAGAAAGACAACAAGGAAGGCAAGGGGAAACCTGCTATAGAACTTAAAGACCTTGCTTCAGGACATGCAAGGCAGAGGCACCAAAATTAAGTAGAAGTAGCTCCTCACAACAGCCAAAATCAAGAAATGGTTCAAGAACAAAAGAAAGCAGCTATGACAGGAAACAGGGACTGCTGCCAGAACAGGCAAAATATAGCAGTCTTTCTAGGGAAAGTGGGCAGACAAACCCCAGAGTTGTTCCAAAACTACCATCCTTTCAGTGCAAGGCACTGCAGCATATCAGAAAGTCTACTCTACTACAGTACATCTGCACTGGAGCCATATCCATGCCATACTCACAGCTGGCAATAGTCCCATCAGCACACGAGCTGCAGTTCCTACACTGGAAGTATTCAGAATCAGAATCAATCTGATACTGATTCTTCTGACAGCCACATACAGTATCTTGCTTTGGGGTGCATGGGGTCTCTACTATCTGCTGGAGTGCTGAGGAAAGAAAGGGGAAATTATTAATCCAGCCTCTTCCTTCACCTTCAACTGAGAGCACTGTCATGATCATAGGTATTGTAATCCCCTAATTTTCACAGGAAAAGGCCAGAAATGCCTGCAAACTGTATCTCAGACTGCACTAATTTGGTAACCCTTACTCCTGCTGTTCCCAGTCCATCCCCATACACTGGCTTACCCATTCAACTGCTTACTTTTCCAAGCTCCTTTGCTCACCTTGCCATCCCCTCCAGCCTTCATCCACCCCTGTTTTCCTCAGATCCTGCAGATCTGACAGTAACTCACCTGTACGGCAACGTTTGCACTGGAAGCATTTGGACATGGTGTTATCAACAGCTGTGAATGTGCCATTGCTGCACGGAAGACAGACAGTTGCCTGGTCAGGCCCATCACAGTCTTTTGCCTTGTAGGTACCTGCAAGAAAATTACTTAACAGAGCTCTGACAGGAAAGCAAATGCATTGTCTTAGGGAGGACTGGTTCCTCAAAGAAACCTTGGAGTTGATGCCATAAGGACCAAGTATGCTTCCTCTCACCAGTGTGAATGACACTGACAGCCCATAAGAGGAGAAAAAGAATAAGAATAAATAAAAGTAATAAGAATTTATCTGGGTGGAATAGGTACCAAGCAAAGGGAGAGCTGATTAGCTGTAGGAGAGAGACAGTTTGAGAGTACAGGACTGAGAAATGCCTCCCAGGTGAAAGTCACTACCACTGTATTTATTTTGTGTACCTGCATGACACCTCATGCAGCAGTGGGTCTTTCTGGGGTGTAGGTATTGTCCCAGTTGACAGTGCATCTGTTTCTTTTCTCTCCTCAAAGGGTTAGAGGGGTCTCTTCCATCCAAAGCTACCTGACGGACTTGCAGTCTATATGGCACTGGAGTAATTTCTACAGATTCCTTTGTCAACACACAGACAAATATTAGAATAACCTGTAAATAGAGAAGGAGGGAGGGAGAGGAGAGAAACAAGGTGAGAAAACATTATATCCTCCTGCAGACTGCACCCCTGATTTCAGCACTTAGAATTAGATCACAAGTTCAGTTTACTTGGATAATTCTGGTAATGGAACCCTCCACTGGCAAATGTGTCTGGGGAGATGATTTACAAAAATAAATCCCAAAAACATCTGTGATACTAATATATCTGTATATGACCTCTACAGCGAACTAGTTGTATATAAAGCGAATATTTTATACATGGAATGCCTTGAAAATGCTGCAGCTTGCATAAAAGTTACACAAGAGCAAAAGAAATGCTTTTATTAAGGAAGGCAGTAAGGCTGTCCATGTAGAAACAGTTCCACAGAGGAGAATGAATCCAGTACTTGTAGTTCCACTGAATAAATATACAAGATGAGAAGTTTGGAATAAGATGGCAAAAGAGGATCTCACTGCCTGCTAAGTACAGGAAATCTTCCAAAATGTTTCCTGAACAAGCCAGACCTAGAAACATGGGAAAGTTAGGTTTTTGATTTCGTCTCGTGTCAAATGTACATTCTTCCTCTTAAACTGCAGCTGTTAACAATCAGCCCATACAGTTCACACAAAATGAGCAGTTTCTTCTTTTTTTAACACTGTTAAGATTTGATTTCTATCTTTCCTTTGAAAGTTACTTGTCATGCCAATCTTAGCAGAAATACTAGGATTGGCATGACTGCCATATGACTGTAAGAGAGGGTGACTTTTTACACCCACACACACAGGAACCAAGGGTTCAAAGCACAGCCTGCACTAATAATGAAGGATGCCGTTCCCTAGACACTGTTTTCAGGACACTATTCCCAGCACTGAAATTGAGAAATATACTGCTTATGCAATGGCCAAAAGGTCTCCACTCTGGTAAGAGGACAGCATAAATGACTCATCTGCAAAAGATCCTGTACCAGAAGGATGGTAACAAGATTGTAGCGTATCACAAGCACAAGTCCTTTGCCTGTTGGCCCTCGGGCATGCATTTCAAACATTCAGATAAAGAAAAAACATACAACAACAAAAAGGTTAAAAAAACCCCAACAAAACAAAACCAGGTCAAAACTTGGTCCAAGTTTTAATGAAACTTGAAGTCAGCAAGTTTCTACAGCAAAGATCCATCTCATACCAACCAGTGACTCCTGAAGAATATGAAAGATTTGTTGAAAAACTACGTTATAGTACCATGAAGAAGTCCAGCAACACGATGAAGACTTGACAACCTGCATCCCTTGTCATCCTCTTTTTACACAAGGGATCCTGGCCACACTGTCTGGATATCTATGTGTTGATGCTTCTGAGTATGTTACAGATGTACCAATGAACTCGATGCATCAGATCGTGTGAATGATGAAAATCAATTTTTTTTTTGCAAATAACACTGCCTTGCCAATATAATCTCACACAAAGTCTTACTGCACGACCTTCCCTCTAATTGTAATGTTTTGCCAGCTTGTTTTTTTGAAAGTGTTTTTTTGAAGATGCTCAGCAGTACAAGCACAGCTTCAGAGTTGTTGGGGTATTTTTTCTTTTTTTGGTTTTTCAACTAAGAGAGTTACAGCAAAACCAAAATAAACCAATAAGGGTAAACCAATTAATTACACCAATTTTGTGGTAGCAAGCTTACCAAAAGATATGTAGAATGAAATGACTATGACAGCCCTACACTATCCTGTTTCTCTTTCAGAATTAAAGCCTTGGAGGAGAAAGGTACATACCTAAAAGCAACTTAAAACCTCAAGAAGGATGGATTTTGCAACTCTCACGAAACTAAAATGTTTTTCAGAGAGCTCTGACATATTCAATAGACCAGATGCTAAAAGGGTGAACAGGAAAAAAGAGAACCACATAATTAAATAGATATAATTTCAGACTTCATTAGCTGACCACAGAATAATTGTAAGCACTCCAACAACTCCTCACGGAACGAAAAATTGTTTTAGCAGCTGACACTACAAGACTTATTGCTTGCAGGAAAATGGAGAAAAAAATCTTTCACATAGATGGTCTGACACACAGTAACAATAAAAACATTCTGATTCACTGTCACCCTGTTCTTTTAAAAGTTTTAAAGTCCTTTTAAAAGTTTTCTATGCCTTCTGATGTTTATATATTTCTACTAGAGTTTCTCATGCACTGTCATGTAAATAATGATTGTTTTACATTCTTCTTTGTGGGAAGAGAAAATTGATAGACTGTTAGTTTAACCAGTGTAGTTGGAGAGGTAGCAATTTCATCCTCCAATCCACTGTCACTTTTAGAATTCTATATATTGAGAAGTCAGAAATAAAACTTGCTTCCTTTTACTCTTTTACATCTTGAGTAAATACGTGAGTTATTTCGTAATGTGACAATTCACTAGCTAGTGATTAATGCCCTGATATGAGAACATAAACAGTCAACCTGTAAGTCACACAAGTCAGCAGCAGAAAGAAGATAAAAACATCAAAAATTAAGCCAAAAAATACAGAGAAAATTGTTCAGATACACCTTCAAAGCCAAAAGAAAACAGATGTGTTTTTAATTTTTCAGATTAAGTGAAAGCATGTTTGTAAATGCCATCAAAGCAGAGTTAACACATTACAGATTTATGGACCACAATCTGAAGAACAGAGAGTCACACACCACGAGTGACTCACACACCAATGACTTGTCCATCCAGCAAAATCACTCTCATGATGGAAAAAAACCCCAAAACACCACCATCTTAAGCAGCTCCCCGAGCCATTCAGCAATACACTGATTTATACTAGTGAACAACTTCATCAAATTCAGGTAATACATTAATTGAGAACAGTCTGTTCTGTTTCAGTTGGAAGGCATGTGACTTGTGGTATATGAACTGTAACAACTGTATTACAACATGGACTACAGAGCTGATCAAAATCCTCAGCAAAACCAACCTAAGAGGATATGAAGGTGACCACATGGCAACCACTGGGTAGTGAAAGAGTGACCCAGTGAAGAGTGAGGAGACCCCATCTAATAATGCTTTCTGATCCAGACTGTTGCTTGAGGGATAGGGAGTTTAGATCATAACGGTGATATTGCCCAGGGATTTCATTGCTGGGGATCTCTCTTTTGAGGCACCTGGCTTAAGTTACTACGTAACACACTTGATTTGTACCAACAAGTATGTCTGATGGAGATGAGAGCCTGATTTACAAAAATTCTTTAGCAGTTTCCCTCCTCTGGACACATTCCAGGACCTTCAAATACTTAAATCTGAGGGCCTGAACTGCTGCCGGCACTCCGGGTGAGGCCACACCAGTGCTGAGCACAGCGGATGATCCCCCCTGTGCCCGGCTGGGCTCTGTGTTTGATGCCCCCAGGACACGGCTCCTGCCCTCTGGGCTGCCCGGGCACACCCTGCTGACCCTCACTGAGCTGCTGCCCCCAGCACCCCCAGGGCCCTCCCTGCAGTTTAGATTTGTGCCCAGAAGTAACTCTGTTCCCATATTCAGGATCCAGCATTTGGATTTGCTCCGTTTCGTTCCAATAATCATTGCTCAATGCGCCAATTTATCTAGAATAAACGCATTGAACAGAACTGGCCCTGGAATTGAGCCCTGAGGAACACGGCTGATGGTCAGTCACCAGCCAGATTTTAGCTCCATTTACCAAACACTGAAGCCTCAAGTCATTGATAAATGTTTGCCAAAGCAAAGTTTAGAGGTCTTCTGCAAGTGAAATAAGCTGAATTTCCATTGTTAGATGTACAGCACACTCCACTTGCCAAGATAAAATAAACAGTACCCACTAAGCAACTTCACAGAAACAATGTGTATTACCTAAGCCAAGTGATAATTCAAACCACTGATTCACACCTACTCAGTCATTTCAGCCAGCAGGGACTACCCAGGGAAAACAGAGTCAGCAGAAACTCTAGGGTTTACTTATGAAACTGCTGCTGGAATAACCAAAATATGGCAGAATGCTGCTTCCTTAAAACACTCCAAAGCTATCTGGGTGACAGCTGTGTTCCCTGCACATTCTCCTCACACATAAGGCAACCCTAGTTCCTTCCCATGCCTCACGCCAGCACTTACTGCCCAGCACTTCACCTACCATGAGAAAAGACACAGCACAAGCTCAAAAGCTTTTTTATGCAAGGTTTTGACAGCTGAGAAAGGAGTTAAGAGCCTTTCAACAATTTTCACACTCAAATATTCTTGAATTACTGCCACCACTACAATTTACACACTTGTTCCTGCTTGTTCTCTGCAGGCCATGCACAGAAAACTGAAAGTGAGGTGATGTCCCACCGGAGTAAGGCAAAGGAAGAAAGGAAGGGCAAAGATGAAAGTGAGGAGCAGAGCAAGATGCCAGAAAGACGGATGAGAGGGTAGAAACAAGGAATGTTTGAGAGCAGTGTTCTCAGGACAAGGGGACATAAAGCACTGTACCTGAAACAGAAGGACTGCATAGGGAGTGCAGCACGTCAGGGCTGCTCCATATTATCACCTCAGGAGGCTGAGAAATACCAAATTACTCAGCATGAACACAGGTCATTTTGCTATCTTTAATACTGTTGCTTCAATATTACTTGCGAAAACAGTACACCATACTAGTAGTTATAACTATCTATATTGTGTTGTAAATAATTATGAATTAAGTATTTTAGTCTCAGCATTACCATCATCAATGAAATCAGTATTTTATTCAAATAAATATATTTAGTCATCCTTAATCTTCATGTACCAAGTTGCACAAAAATTCCATTGTAATAACTTAACCAACCACTTTCTCTAAAAAGGCTTCCATTTTGCAAATTCTATTTAAACTAATGAACTATCAACTACGTGCAAATAAGAGGCATTATGAGTCATTCAAGTGTTTCAAAATATTTCGTAACAGCAAGCTACCCTGGCTTAAGAATCCAGCATGATACACGCCCCATGCACAAGTATTTTACACATAAATCATCTGTCAGCCTTTTTAATGATTCATAAAAAATTAGTCAGCTTGGAGGCTTGGATGCAAACCAGTATCTAGCACAGACTAATGAGCTGACAAATAAATCAGAGTACAGGATTTACCCTATGTGCTTTGTCTGGTTCAGCCGTTTCCAAAAGCTCTTTGAGGTTCACATTTGTTTTAGTTTGCAATACAAAGATGAAAGGGAAATCAGAACTTCTGCTTTACACATTGAGAAATGTGCATTAAAGCAACATTTACAGGAAGCTTTTGTCATTGCTCACTAAAATCTGGAAAGGACAACAGAAGGCTACAAGAACTACTGTACTAAATAATCCTCCATTTTATGAAGATCAGATGAAAGAATGCTGTATTTCAGGCCTTGTCTAAATTCAGGAGACTAGTAATAGATTTGATCCAATAAAGAAAGGCCTTAGAAATCTTAACTTAGAAACCAAATGAAAACTGTGGTTTTCTATAAAGATTGTGGACTTCACACCATAAAATATAAAGTATATAAAGTCAGAAGGCTTTATTTCATATTAGTAAAGATAAAGAAAATAATGGAGAAGGTAGCAGGTGATAACAACTATAAGAAAACTTCTTTGGAAGCTTTCCCTCTGAGGACACTGTGGTGGACAATGTATAAGAGCGCCACGTTCACTGACCCTCAACACCCCAACACTTTGCCTGCCTGTGTTCAGGGCTGAGTTCCACTGTGCTACTGTACAGCCTCACATCAGAGCCATGGGAAGGCTCGGGGGATCCTTACTTTTCCATCCTGAAATGATTTTCAGCTGGGCATGAACCCTCGGCCCCTGCTCATGCCCTTTGTCAGTGACTCACTAGGTGAATTTTTAAGTCAGGTAATTGTCAAATGCCAAGTCCTACTCATTGGAACAGATATATTCCTGTTTGGTTTAATAAGAAAATGTAGTGACATTGCTTTGAGATGTGCTTTCCACTGTCAGGTTCCTAAGAGCATAACACAAGGATATGTATTAGCAAGGGAAACACTCCAGTAATCCAGGGATTACAGAAGACAACACAAAGCATCTGCCCCAAATACAAACAAAGCTTCTTTGTGATGACTAAAGAAAATGGGTAAGAAACAGCAAAATGACAATACTGGGTTTACCACAAATAACACTGCTAATGCAGAAAACTGATTATTTAATGAAAAGGGAAAGGCATGCAGACTGACAGGACTGGTTATTTGTGAGAACAAAAATTGCCACGTAAATGTACTTAGCACAGACTCTAATATAAATGCTTAATTTGGCTAGAAGTAGTTAGTTCTAAAAATAAAAATTAAAATTAGATTAATAAGCAGTAAAAGTTCAATTAATCTTATTGGAGAAAACAATCAGAAATTCAATAAAATGCTATGAATTATTAGGAAAGGATTTGAGAGCAAAACCAAGAGTGCTGTTATAACAATATATAAAGGATTGAGTCTTGACTGTAGTTCTGGTCCCCAGTCTTAAGAAAATAAATGAACCCAGATATAATACAAAGAAAAGTAAAAAGGACCGTCACTAGTACAGACTGACTGCCACAAAGGGAATGATAAAATATACCAGTCCATAAAAGAGAAACCTGAGCCGAGGATACTGGAACAGGCTCAAAGCCATGACTGCCAAAGAGAAGATGAACTGGGATGACTGTTCTGTCTCCTCCATTACAAGGGCAAAGAGGCAACACATAAGACAAGCAGCAGAGAGGTTCAAAACAAACACAGGGAGGTAGTTTTACAGCCAACATGTAGCTCGGGTATGGGACTCCACAAGAGAGTGCTGGCTCTGCCAGAAACCTGTCCTGGTTCAAAAACTACCACCACACCCATAGCAGAAGGAAAAAAAAAAAAAAAACCCACAGTCATGGATCCAAAATATGAAGACGCCATTTCAACTTGGAAATTCCTGAAGTCCCAGCCCATTGGAAGCCAGGAAAGTATTCTTATTTTTCATTGCTGTACACTTGCCCTGTTCCAAAACCCTTGGCAGACACCTGTGACTGGTCACTACTGGAAACAGGCTGGTGGCCCAACAGCTCTTTCTTACAATGCACTTGGTGGCCTGGTTTTCAATTTTTATATAATGTAGCTTTTAACTTCAAAATGGCAGTTTCTCCCTTTACTTTGAAAAGAAATCAGTGCCAGAAGTACCCTTATGGTTGTCTTTTTTCTTCATAAAACAGAATTTTCTTTAATTAATGAAACTTCCATTATATATACACTATATTTTTTCTTTTAATGAGACAGAAAACACCCAGGCCTCAGTGAAGATGTATGCAATTTTGTCCACTGTAAAAGTTAGAAGTGCATGGGGAAAACACAGAGCACCTGAAAATGAGTTTAAGGACAGGCAGAAAGAGAGAATGCATGGAAACAGGCTATGGAAAATTTTGAAGAATCACAGGAAACATACAAGTAGAGTAGAAGGGAGGCATCAGTGGGCCAAGAAAGGCTATGAGGGCAAACAGGATGATATTTAAAGTAAATGACAGATGGATGGGCACACAATAGAGTGAGACCTGTAATTCTTGGGGGGGGGGGAAAGAAGAACATGATTTTATTGAAAATATAAACCTTATCTATAGAGTAATGCTACTGACAACTTGTAATGACATGCAAATAGGAAGGGGAAAACATCTTCAAAAAGAAATTCCACTGAAGGACACTTCATCCAGTATCTTATTTAACTGAAGACAATACAATGAATTTGGGGAATCCAATAGGTTTTTCTTTTTTTGCCAGCTGAATGAATAATATCACACATAGTATCCGATTTACACCAAAATCTGTGCACCTCTATTCTTAAGCCAGAAATACACTTTTCAGGTTTGCTAGCTGCTCTGAAACTGCCCATAAGTCAACAGTTTACGTGTCCTACCTAGGTCCTAAGATAGTAAGTAATCCACAGCTATAGTCAAGGTACTCCTTCTCCTCAGTTTTAGGTGTGTTGTCCTATAACTGCTAACTTTAAGCCTACTACCAGGGTTTCAAACCTTTCAAGTGGTAAAAAAAAAAAAACAACCAAGACCAAATCCAAACCCTTCTGGAAGGTAACTTTGCACACATTGAAACTTTCTGACCACAAATTAACAACTAAGCCAACATTACAAGTCTAGTGCAGCCAAGTGAAAGTGTGTATTACTAGGATGCTCAGGTATTTAAGGATAAACAGTCTGACCTCGTAACCTCTACAGAATTTATAGCCGTGTCACGATGCTGAGTGACAGCACTCCACTGTCCCAGCTTTACCACACATCTGCTTATACTGGATAGCCATTCACGTCTGGCAATCAGGTTATTCGTAAAACTCTCCGATACCTTTTACAACTTTTTCGCCCACAAAATCACAACGGGCAGCTTAAAAGTCTTACCCTACGAAGCCCGGGAAGGTTAAAGAAGATCTACCGCAGAGCTGAACTTGCTTTTATACAAATCTCGTGGTTTGGGGCGTAGTTACAACCCTCTGATCTTTGTTCAAACGCCCGCAGAGTGGCATTTGTGTGCACCGGCTGCACAGCAAAGCGGGGGCGGCTCATCCCCGGCCCCCGCACAGCGGCGGAGGGAGCGGAGCAGCTCCGATCCCGGCCCGGGCGGCCCCGATCCCGGCCCGGGGCTCGGTGCCCCGACGAGCCCCGCTGTCCGCACCGCCCCGCGCGTTAACGGCCGCGCCGCGGGCTTCAGGGAATCCGCCACCGTTCCTGTAAGCCCAGACGCCTTTTCACTGAGTCAGGGATAAATCCCGGGAACGGCGCCAGAGAGCTCGGTGCCCAGCGGAGGGCGGGGAGCGGAGGGAGGGAGGCGGCGAGCACAGCGGTGCCGCTGCCCGGCTGCCCCGCGGGCACCCGGCGGATGGCGCGGCTCGGCTGCCGGACCCGCTACCGCCGCTCTTGCCGCTCCGGCGCCGGCACCAGCCTGCCCTGCGACGACGACCGCCCGCCTCGCCCTCCCGCAGACTCCCCGAGCCCTGCCCCTCCGCTGCCCGCCCCGGCATGGGGCTGCCGAGAGGCGAGCCCCAGCCCCCCGGAGAGGGCGAGCAGAAAGCGGGCTATGCGCAGAGCGGCAGCCGTGGGGAGCCCGACGGCGGCCAGGAGGGTCGAAGAGAGCCCGGGCCCGAAAACTGGACGGTGGACACCGCTCTGCGGACCCGCAGCGGGCTGCAGATCCGCGGGACCGGAGCTGTCGCCGGGCGAGGCGGTGTCCCGCCGGCGCACGGCCCCGCTCCGCCGGGAGCGGCGAAGTCCCAGCCGTGACTTACCGTCCGCAGCGAGGTGCGGGGCAGCGCCGGGCTGCGCATGGCTCCGCGGCCCGCTACATCCCCGTGGCAGGGTCCCTCACGCCCAGAGGAAGCCTCCCGAGCCCTACCCAGCGCCGGCCGGAGCAGCGCGGAGAATGACTACCCCGTCTCCAACTTCCTGGCAGCGGCAGCAGGAAAGAGAGCGGCGAGCGGGAGGCGGCCCGGAGCCGCGCCGAGCCCCGCCCGCCCTCCGCCGCGCGAGGATCGGCGTCGGCAATATTCCTTAAAAACACAGATGGACGAGCTGAAGAAAAGCAACGGATGGTGCATGGAGTGCCTAAAGGCTGCTAGAAAACACACGGGAAAGGAGTCAGAGGAGATCTGCTGAAATCTTAAAAAGTTCTCGACGCAGGAGTATTTCACTCTTCGGCTGTACTTTCCACGTGAAAATTAACCATGTACTTGTAAGAAAAAGACTTCTTGCATCTTAACAGCCTTAATTTTAAAGAAAGGCATTTTGCAGCCACAATCCACATTTTTAGAGACTATATGACCATCCTGTAGTTTTAAATTTAAAGCACATATTTTCTTGCATGCTCCAATGAACCAGCTGTACAGATAGTGCAAATATAAGCAAAACCAACATGACATTCTGTGTAAGCCCTGCTTCATTTAAGAGATCCTTTTAGCATGTTTGAAAAACAAAAATACAGCTAGGAATAAGTGGCTAAATGATAAAGAACTCCCCTTCATTTGTTGCCCATTTAGACTTCCCCTTGCTTTCTGGAATTGTCTCTGTACTCTAGTAAAAGACATTAGATCAAGCTACTAAGCGTTGTTTTGGAAGAATTTGCCCATTTCAGTACAAAATGGGTACAATTCACACCATGGACTGCCTAAATTACTGCGGAGAAATCCAAACACCTCCACAGACTAATCCTACAATGGACTTCCTCATCTGCTGTGTGGAAGCCAACGACGGCACGTGCACAGGAGAAAACAAGGAGGGCACTTTTCCACACTTTGTCTTGGAACAGCTGTGACTTCCCAGCTGCAAGTCTCAGGAGGGAAGGAAATAGCAGAATAACCTATTATCAGATCGCAGCCATCTCCAGGGATAGAGGTGGAAAAGATTTTTTTCCTGTTAATTTCCTTGCCTCGAATGAGGACAATACAAAATTAGCCCCTAAAGGGAAAATTCTGGCACACATTCTGTGAAGGAGGAAATAATGTTTTTAATGGGCTGTTTCAGGTTTAGCACTTGCTGGCATGTGAGTGGATGAGGCAAATCCTTCAATCTTCCTGGAGCTTCAGCCTTCAAAAAAAATAAAAGGGGGCAAAACCCAGCCCCATTTCCCTAGAACTACATAAATGTCAGAAAAATCCCTGTGAATCTTCACATTTGACTCCTCCCAAGTTCGGGGAGGGACATCTCACAGCCTGCTGCACGTTTGACATTTATACCAATGCACATCCACTTCCCACATTTCACCAGAACTCCAGCTCCAGGCCTCTCTCCAGCATTGGGTTTGTGCAACCAGGTTTTGGTAGCAGGGGGACAATTGGGTGACTTCTGTGAGAAGCTGCCAGAAACATCTCCTATGTCTGGCAGAGTCACAGCCAGCTGGCTCCGAGACGGGGTGCACCGCTGGTGAAGGCCAAGCCCATGAGAAATGGTGGCAATGCCTCAGTGATAACCTGTTTAAGAGGGAAGAAAAAGTTATTGCGCAGATGTAATTGCAGCTGGAGAAGAGCAGAGTGAGAACATGTGAGAGGAACAACTTGGCAGACATCAAGGTCAGTGGAGACAGAGATGAATGTGCTCCAGGCACCAGAGCTGAGATTCCCTTGCAGTCATGATGAAGACCATGGTGAAGCAGGGTATCCCCCTGCAGCCCATGAGGGTCCATAGGGATGCAGAGATCCTGTTGTAACCATGGAGGAGCCCCATGCTGGAACAGGTGGATGCCTGAAAGAAGGCTTTGGCTCCGTGGGAAGCCTGTGCTGTAGCAGGGACCGGCAGACCACTGGAGCGAGGAGCCCACACTGGAGCAGGTTGCCTGGTGGGATTTGTGATCCTGTGGGCACTCTCGCTGCAGCAGGCCATTCCTGCAGGAGTGCACCCGTGGAAGGGCGGGTCACGTTGGAATTGGAGCAGCTCCGTTGCCCGCGGTGAAGGCTCACACTGGGGAAAGCCGTGGGAGGGACCTGCCGGAGCAGCGGGGCAGGACCCGTCTCCCTCCCTGAGCAGCGGCATCAACAACGTGTGGCGAGCTGACCGCGACCTCCATTCGCTCTCCCTGCGCCGCTGTGGGGCGGGAGGGTCGCAAGGGGAAAGGTGGTTTTAAGATTTATTTCTCATTATCCTGCTCTGATTTTGTCCGTAGTAAATTCAATTACTATCCCCAAGCTGAGCCTGCTTTGCCTGTGACGGCAACCGATTTGTGATCTCCCCCGGTCCCTGCCTGAACCCGTGAAGCTTTCGTTTTATTATTCTCCCTCCCGTGCCCACGGGCGGAGGGGAGCGATCGAGCGGCGCTGGGCGCCCGGCACGGCCCGGGCCTATCCCACACACGGCCCCGCTCCCGCTCCCGCTCCGGCTCCTCGCCGTCCCGCGCGGAAGGGGCGGGGCCAGCCGGGGACCGGCGGTGGCAGCGATTGGGCGGAGGGCGGTGAGGGAGCGGAGCCCGGCGCGCGCGCGGCGCTCCCGGCGGCTCCCGCGCGCTTCCCGTCGCCGCGGCAACGGCGCGGGCCGTGCGCGCTGTCATGGCGGCGCCCGGCGCGGCGGTGAGTGAGGGGCCCGGGCGGCTCCGCGCCCTCCGCGCCGCCCGGCGCTCAGACACCGCTTCCCTCCTTTCCCCCCGCAGGAGCAGCGCTGGCTGCAGGCGGCTCGGGACTTCGCTCGCCGGGCGCTGCCGGGGCCGGATGGGCGGGAGCCAGCGGCGCTGGAGGCGGTGCTGCGGTGCCTGCGGAGCGCGGGCGGCGGGACGCTGCCGCTCGGCTACAGGTGACAGCGGGGCCCTCCCGGGAGCTCGGCACGGCTCGGCCCGCCCCGGATGCCGGCTGTGGGGGGATGCTGTCGAACGGGGGTAAAAGAACCGCACGCGTTTCTTTGGCCTCGGCACGGCAGCTCCCCGGCTGGATCCTGCGGGCCGGCACGGGAGGATGTTCCTGGTGTCCGAACCTCTTGGCCAACTGAGCTCAGCGTTCGAGTGTGCGCTCTTAAAAAGGAGGATCTAGGATAACGTGGTCCATATTTCAGTTGATAAAAGGCTTTTGGGTGCTCATCATCATGGAAAACATGCAGCTCGTTGAGAGATATCCATATTGGAAAGTTTGGCTTGTCTGCATCTGTTTCTTCTTCCAACTCGTGGAAGAATTAAAATCTCTGGTACAACTAGTTTTTGTGAGAAAAGGTCAACTGGAATTGATTAGGGATTTGTGACCTTTAACTAATAAATGTAGGTGGTTGATCTTTCACACCAGCTAAACTTAGCTCATTTAGGCCATATTTTTTCCGGTGTATTTATGGCATTTAAACCAGACTTTGCTTCATATTCAAGAGAATCTATATAGAAGAGTTGAAGGTACTTCTGTGAGGCCAGTGGTCTGTTTGTGTGCAGTGTGCTACATCCACAGCTAACCACCAAGCTCTGGAGCACAAGGAAGGGAGTCTGTTTTCTTCTGTATGTGATCACCATGAGCCAGTGTCCTGCTGTAGTTCTAGTTTCTCCCAAAAAGCACTCAGCGCATTTGACAAAAACACGAGCAGCACTGTGCTTTTGTGGATCATAGGTACCAGTATTATTCCTGCTGGTGCTCTGTCTCTGAAGATGGAGCAGTTTCAGCTGATGGAATTTTCAACTAATCCCTTATTCATTTTTCTGCAAAATACACAGCATAACTACCTGCGTAAATTTATGTCTTCTGATTAATTTTTCTATATCTAATTACTGCTCATTGCTGATTGAGACCCATCATTCATCAGGACTAGTTTCTTGCTTTGAGCTTTTGATCCCTGACTAATAAGTGAAACTCTTCAAATTCACATCCGTTGAATTTTATTATGTCCTGCTACTGAGCAAGTGGGTATTGTAACTAGAGCTCCAGTTTCACAACCTAAAATTGTCAGTGAAGCTCACTGGAAACCAGTAACAAAATCACAGGCTGAAGAACAGTTTGTGTTGGCTCTTTCAGTCTTGATACTAGGGTACTTTGCAAACTGAGTTCTTCATACACCCTGCTCTATTCTTGCTTCTTTCTTTCTTTCTTTTTTTTCCAGTTTCATCTCCATCTCTGACCTGCAGCATCAGCAGCACATACCATGCTGCAGCCACCTGAGCTGGAGCACCAATGAATTTAAGGAATGGTCTCATCAAGGACAAAGTGCTTTACCTGTGCAGCGCACTTTGCCAAGGACTTACCTGATCCTGGTTGGCTATTTAGCAGATGGAAGGCAAGAAAACAAAGAAGAAGTGGTAGATGGTTGCCTCTACGTGAAGGACAATACTGGGATAATTCCATGTGAGGTATGTCCTCAGTCATATTGAGGGGTTCTGTGTTTATTCCCACTTCTGGGGCAGTGTCACAAACCACCAGGGGCTTCAGCTGTTCTGCCAGAGTCTAGTGAAGGAAATAACATGTCTCTGTGACAGGAAAACAGCAAGCTGACATCATGGGCAGAGAATACAACGTGTGAAATGTGCCTTTGCTAGGAGAAGAAATTCTGAATGTACTGGCATGGAAAAAAGAGACAGCCAGTACAGTTCTATTCTGTTCACCACAGTACAAGGTGGCCTGGGAGACTTCTGCTGAATTCCAATTAGTGGAGCAGAAATAAATTTCTGGAGAGTTGTACTACATGTTCAGTGATGCATTGGTGTCATGCTTTCAGGAAATAATAGCTTGCATGACAGTTGACGTAAAAGCCTCATGAAGGTAATTGCAAGTGGAGTCGAGATAACAAATAACCCCCAGAGTGGTGGTGACAGAGCACTGAAGTTGTGCTTTCCAATGAGACAAAGTCTAGGGAAAAGTTGTATTGGTAAGAACTTCTAATTGAAAACACAGGAGCAAAAGAAAGCAGGCAAGAAATTTAGAAAAAAAAGTCTGAAAATAACTAAGCCTTTCATTGAATTAATTACCACCTTTCTGTGAGGTTATGACTATAAACAGGAAGTTCTAGCTGTAGAGTTCAGTAAGTCTGTGGCAGATTTGCATCTGGAAGGACAGAAGTTCTCCATGCAAGCTAAGAGAGTGGGCAGAAAACACTGTTCTCATTTAGTGATGAAGCCTGGCAGTAGGAGAGGAGTTTGTGATGCACATGCAAGGCTGTATTGGTAATGAACACTCTAAGTAGTGCTGAAAAAACAAACTGAAACTCATCTCAAGCTTCAATCTCATTATCTTTTGGTTTAGCTCTTGCACTTTGAACTGGAGTGGCTGGAGTCACTGTTTGTCTTCCCAAGCTGGTCATATATACCACAGACAGACCAGAGTGCAGCAGGGTACTTGGAAATCCTGGTGGATCCGGTGCCAGTAAATGCCCCCAAGGAAGTACTTCACAGCATTCCAGTCACCTCCCCATTGTCAGCTGAGCCACTGCTTACCTCCAGGTAAACATCTACCATGCCCAGCTCCTCAGAGCAGTGTTGCTCTGGCTTGGCAAGTAACAAGAGCACTTGGCTTAGAAAGAGACAAATTCTATTTCTGCCCCACATGGAAGCATAGCAGTGAATGATGGAATTCAAAGTTATACAACAAAACCACTTTTCTTTAATCATCTGTTTTCCAGGAGTTTATTGGAAGTTTTTATTCTGTAATTTGAAAAAAATTGGATGAATTTTAAGTAATTTCAGATTATACAAAGAATATTATAACAGTGTTGATTCCACTGCCTTTGAGGCTAAAATTCACTCTTTTGATTAGCAAAACTTTTTTTTTCTTTTCATTTTTTTAATCCTACAGTGAACCAAAAGTATACTTGAAAGTAATCCTGTATTTTATTATGATGTTAATATGTGCCACTGGTCAAATTCTTATCTGACTACTGAGATAAAAGTGCTAGTGAAATGTCACCTGGTAGAATTACCTGTCTTTTAGTTTACAGAATGTGAAAATGAGCTAATGGAATTGCAAATCTTAATAAGTTGATAATTTCAACTTGATAAGATCATGTTTCATCTTCTTGAGTAGAGAATTCTTGGTGTAATTTAATTACAATAATATGTCACTAGCCATGTTGCTTTCATTTCTTTTTAGTTATTTTTTGTTTTTATTCGGTTTATCTGCTTCTAAGAAAGTAATTTTAAGCTTAAGTGTTTGATTTAGCTCAAGGGACCTTTCTAAACAAGAAAACTATGTCCATATTTCAGTATATGTTCTCAGGCTTTTAACATAAAGCTCCTTTGTTATTAACTGATATCTGACCAATTTTCCATATTGCAACTAAAATGTTACCAGTACCAGTGAGGTGCTGGTACTACTGTGTGTCTACTGCTGGTTGGGGTATTTTTAAGTCATAAAGTTAGATAATTGTTTAGATGTTTTGGATTTAAGACTGGTTTTGTTCTGAGTAAGTGGGATGGTTATATTCAGGTCCAGTAGGACTTGAAATGAAAATTTCAAGCATAAATTTTTTTGAAATTAAATTGAAAAACTGGAAATCTTTTTTAATCATTTGAAACAGCAAACACAATTGATTCAAGAAATGTCATCTCTCTTGCCTCTCATCTGCTTTCAGTTTTGCTTCTCTTTGTGTCAAGTTTCTTAAAAAGAGTCTATTGTTGCTTTCAGGCCTCTTGTTTATAGGCTTACAGCTTCCATAGT